GTGCTACAAACTGCACCATCCTGTAGCCCTCAATCTGAATTACTAGCAATTATAAGGAGGTCAAAATATCATGTATTGAGGGTTTTGTAGAAAAAGTTAAATATATCCACTGCTTCTTCACTTTTTGCTAAGATAGTAGTCTAAACTAGGGGTCACCAACCTTTTCAAGACTGAGAGCTACTTCATAAGATGGGCTAAAAATACTGACCCATGAACTGGAGGAGTCAGCACTTACCTACACTTCATAGATAATAAACATATTTGTATGCTTAAGAAGATCAAGAAATGTGCGTCATAATGATAAAACTTAGCCACACTATAAAAACTCCTCAAAGCATCAAAATGTTTCCTTAGTATTTAGTTTTTTCTGTTAGGGTTTCTGTTTGTGGGGATTGTTTTTGTGTTTTCCTTTAGTTTCTCCTTCCACCACTAGATGGTGCCCCTTCCTCTTTTGGTCTGAAGGGCGGCTTCCGGTTTTCCTCCCACACCTGCGGCTCATTGGGTCATCACCAGAGGAGTATTTGAGCAGCGGACTGTCACCACCTCGACGCCAGAGTGTTTGCCAGTATTGGGAAACCTTCCTGATCTGCTGGATAAGCCTGGTCCTTCTCCTCCCTTGGAAGGAAAACATTAGTATCAATCTGAGCAAGGGGAAACCTTCATATGGAAAATCCTGTTACAGTCTGCTCCACTGCTCCTCTGGACCCGTCAATAGTCTGCCTGTCCGCCCTCCAACAAGTACAATCATCTCTGGACAATACCCCCACAAACTGAACCCAAGGATCAACAAAAAAACCCCTTTATAGTTTCCGGTTCCAGTTCACCAGACCGCTGGATTTTTCCCTGCTGAAAATCCCCACTAGTTTAGTCTCTCTGAGTTTCTCCAGGCCGCTGGATTCTCCCCTGCTGAGAATCCCCTTTGTTTTTTTCTCTGGTTCCATTTTGTCAACAAACTGATTAACTTTTACCCTGCCTCTGAGTGGTGTTCTGCATGTGGGCTAACTTTAGGAACCCATCATGACATTTTCTAATTCTGCTTACTTACCATAGTTGTCATTTTACCAGTTTATCTAACCAGTTTATCTAAGGGATTTTATTGTGAACTAGCCTGTCTGCATTTAACTTTTATCCTCTTTGTATAAAGCACTTAGATTTAGCAAACCGACCAACCTAAAAAAGAGCAAAGACATGTGGAGAAAACTAATTGGTGTAATGGAGAAGAAAATAGGAATGTTGAAAGAAAAGTTTGATCTCAGGATAGCTTTGTAAACAAAGATGGGAGACTCAGCCATGCATAGGGGCATGCAGGTGGCGCAGTGGTTAGTGTGCTGACCCATGTGCGGAGGCCTTGTTCCTCGAAGTGGCCAACCTGGTTTTGAATCCGACCCGTGGTCCTTTGTCGCATGTCTCTCCCCCTCTCTCATGCCCCCTGTCCTGTCTGCCTACTGTGAAAAAAAAGAGCCTCTAGTGCCACAACTCAAAAAAAAAAAAAAAAAAACTGCATTGGTGTACAGATCAAAATGTTTTTCTTTCTGCTTTAATGCACCAGTCTAGAATGTGTGAAATGCTGGCGTGTGCTTGCAATGTTTTAAGATTGCCATATAGGCTATGGCTACTGTATTATCTTCATGTACCGCGCAGCATATTAGCTCTTTATATACCTCATTTACATCTTTGTTTAATGTATATAATTTTTCAATACAGACCTATTGTCTATAGTGCATACTTATGTATATCTCTTTCAGATTTGTTCCTTTTGAAATTTTTTTAAAAACATTTTATTGTCTGTTAAAATATTTTTTGCTATATTGTTTCCACATTTTTAATTAATGTTTTTCTTTATTATATTAACTCCTTAAACTGACCTTAACAAAGGTACACCTTTATACTGCAAAACATTTAAATCTAAATAAGTAATTTCTTATAAAAATACATGAATTATTCTTGAATTGAGGAGGAAAGTTAGAAACCTTGCCATTGGAACCAGAAAATGTACATATAAAATGAGAAAAAAATTGTATTGTCTTATTTCAAGTGTATATTATCTGCTTTTCTTATTTTAAGAGTAAAATACACATTTCATTGGCAAATCATCTTATTTATCTACTTAAATTAAAGATATATACACTTAATTTATGAAACTTTTACATTTCTGATCATTTTTGAAGTGTAATCTGTTCTAATGCTAAAACTATAACATTTTCCTCTACAGGATAATGTCCACATTTATTTCACTGGAGGGAAAGTAAGCTTAGCCCTTGTTAGGTCAACCACAAAAGTGTCACTGCATGATCAAGAGAGACGCATCTTATTAATTCATTGTTTTAATAGTATGGAGATTACTTTTCCTTTGTCTCTGTCCTACGACCTTGCTGCTTAAGACTCACTCAAAGTCCAATGCACTACTCATAGCAGTTAAAGATTTTTTATGAAATGGCATCCCTGGCAGTTTATTCTAATCTTAGGATTCCTTGTGGTTACCAGCCCAGATATTTTTTGTTATTTTATGAGAAATAAAACTATAGATATTACTGCCTCTTTTCAATTACGCTTGCATGCACTATCGATTCAACAACCTAATCCTTAATGTGGAGAAAACGAAGGAGGTCATCGTCGACTTCAGGAAGAATCGCTCCATTGCTCATCAACACCTTTGCTGTAGAGGTGGTCAGCAGCACCAAATTCCTGGGGGTGCACGTAACAGACAACCTCACCTGGACTGTAAACACCACCTCACTGGTCAAAAGAGCACTAAAGCGCATGTGCTTTCTGCAGAGGATGAGGAGGATGTTGGCAAAACTATAAATCATATCTCGGTCTCATGTTTACATTTGATCACTGCTGCACTTTAAGAAACTGAAATGTCATGAGAGCTGTACAAAACCAAACTTCGTTTTGTATTCACCCTGTGTGTACAAAATGACAATAAAGTTTGCTAAGTCAATTTGTTATTTTTAATAGAGATCTGCTGATTCAGTCCAAATAAATAACAACAAAAAATGTTTTAAGTGCAGCATTTGACAATAAACAGCCCTAACTTTCTGGAATATTCTACAACGATCTTCAGAGGGGAACAAAACAACATATTACAGACTGTGAGCATATTGTCCAGTGGAATCAAGCCAACCACGACCAGGTTGTGTCCAAGTCACAGCGGGTCATTTACACCTTTCCTGCAGAGGGAAGCTGCCCTAGAGACCAATATGCCATTCTGCAGACTATGCAGGACTTCAAATGAGGACAACTTGTTCAAAAAGTCCTTTAAAAAAGTCTGTCATTCACTCTGTGCCTCTTAAAGTAGAACATGAAATTAGAATTAGTCATGCAAAGCTCTCAGATAGATTGCCAGTTCATGTCACTGCCTTAAACCAGATGATTACATATTTAATCTCTGATTATTTTGCATTTCTCTGGTGTGATAAAAATATTTCACAAGGTTAAATCTCTGTTCCAAAAACTTAACATATCTTCTAAATAAACTATATTTAAAGGGCTTTTGGTCTGTTTATCACATAGAGAATTGGCAAAGACACCATAATGAATGTTTTCCTAGCATCCCTCCCACACATTAACGCTGGGCTCCTTCGCTTTTACAGACCAGTATTTACATCTTGTGTGTGCTGTGGTGTTACACAAACATGAAGGCGTTCTGTGTTTTTCCCTCGGCCGAGCACCTGTTTTAATTAATGAGGGGGGAGGAGAGAATGGGTGAGTCACTGGCATCCCACAGAACAGGGTTCAGAAGCACCACCTGTTTCTGCTGAGGGCTTGGATGGGACACACACCATGTCTCTCTGTGCCACATGAACAATAATATATTGTTAGAAAAGGCTACACTGTGAAACTGAATAAAAGAAAAAACAATAAAACATTTCATTCTGCTTTTATAAAAAAAAAAAAAAATAACGTTTTAAACTAAAGTCTTATTTAAAGTGTCATTATAATCACAGAAAGTCAGTTTGTTCTACACAACATTCTCATAAGAGGAGAGCTAATGTTTAAAAGAAATTACATTAACATCACAAATAGAGATGCACACGACACATTATTTATAAGACTTATAAGCTGAATTCCTACTTGTTTAATGATAACACTGCCCTCTTGAGTTTTTCAATATAACTACACAGCTGTTAACACCATGGAGACCTTGTCTTTTACAAATGCTGTAAAAAAAAAAAAAAAAAAAGCATATCTCTTTATGATATCAAATGAGAATTTTACTGTCCTGCATTGTACTACTTACCATTTCAAAGCTGAGTAGGACAAAAAAACGACCACTGGGAAAATATTTAATTAAAAGTATTACTGTTTTCAAGAATTTTATTAATCTTTGCTGTATATCAGTGTATCCATCCGTCCATATGCTCAAATCTATAACAAAATAAAAACCAAAATGCTGCTAAAATGTATACTTTTTTTATCCTTTAATGTAATTTTATATCATTTATATATTATTGTTTGATACTTCATGGAGCTTTAGTTCTCTGGTGTTTGTTTTCAATTGTCTCTTTTCCAACATAGAGTTAGTTGCTATTGGCTGTTTGATTAGTTGCACTGAATAGCTCCATCTGATTGGTCAGCCACCTTAAAGGTGACTTTCTTATTGCTAGCAGCTTTTACACTGTACATTTAAGAAAGTGAACCTTAAAAACACTGGTTGGATTTAAAATAGCATTTAATGAATCAATTTATCTTTATTTTGTTGTTACCTTTGTACTGCTGATCAGCGGTGTGCAGCACACACAGAGATGAACTTAGTATATGCTATATAGGTAGAATTCAATCACTACAATTACTCAAGCAGTTTTTTTCTTGTATCTATTTAAAAGGACTGTAAATCTTGGGAATGGTTGGATTTATTCATTTAAAAAGAAACAATATTTAAGATAAATAGCATATCTAATTCCGTAAAACTGAACATACCATTAATAATATTTTTTTTTTCTTTGGTAAAATGAAAAGTCCCACACATGTTTTTACATAACTTTATTTCCTTCATATTTGAATCTTTGAGCAAACTTTTTTTTTTCTGCCAGATGTTTTCTGCATATATATATGTGCTACCGTACAGTTAGAATAACATCAGTATCAACAGATGGTACGTGAACAGAACTTTAGCCTTATGGAAATGTTTCACACACCGTTTAATTCCTGGAACATTGAAAATAATTGTACCTGTATTAAAAAAAAATAACAGCTGAATATAAAAAAAACAAAAACATTAAACCATAATTTGTGTAGTGGTTTACATTTACTATAAATGTACCATTCAACTGCAGTATAAAGGTCCTGCAAATACACCATCTTGCAAAGAACAATAGCATAACTCTAAGACATAATCGAGAAAATAGAATTGAGGACAAAGGTTTAACAAGGTGGTGGTAAATTTGAACTTGTTAAATATTTTTTTGACCTGCAAGGCCAAACATGGATCATTTTCTAAACCCTGCTGTCCTTCTGAAGTATGAGAAGGGAGAAAACAAATGTCTGCCAGAGCAGGAACACGCGTCACAGCACTGCTGAGGGGTGGGGTGCTCAAGAACTCCAGATCTAAGTAACATGATGTGTGGAGGTAAAACAAACCATGGTTTCCTCTCAGAAAAAAAAGGATCCCAAACTCTTCATATTTTAAGACTTCAAAAAGAATTGAAATAAAATAGACTGATGTACCTGGTCTGCATTAGCACCCATGTCAGAATATTATTCAGCAAAGCCACACGAAAAACAACTGAAATCAGATTTGAAAAGTGATTCCCTTTAGCTTTTGGTTTTTTTTTTAAAATGAAATGTATAAAAATAATATGAATCAGGGATTTTATACACTCTTAGTTCAAACAATGCTCTTCTCATTCTTCCCTTTTAGAATGAATGCACTGCAAATATGAACAAAAATTTACTTTACAAAGAGCCACCTAATTGCACTTGGAAACGCTCAGGATATTAGCAGATAGTTTCTAGATTAAATCAGAAATGGTTTAAGAATACCATAAAAAAAAAGAAAAAAATATTTCACTCATCCGTTAATGATCTGCTGGGAAATTATGTTCCTCCTTTTGAAAACACATGCCTGAAATGTCCAAGACGAATACAGAACAAGCAAAGGCTCCAATTATAAACATTAATGCTTTTAGAATCCTGTTACTTCACTGAAGCCTGCTAAACAAGGTTTGTTGGATATTAGATTAAACGTCTGATAGTAGAAAAATCCAAATTTTTCTTTGTTTTTCTCTTAAATCTCAGACCTTTTGGCGATATTTCTCTCTCCATATTTGTGTCTGCAGAAAGTCTCACACTAGACAAGCATTGCTGCTAATGCATTGTTTTTTTTTTGTCTGATACAAGTTCTATCTGGACAAGGAAAGTCATACCTAAGTATTAAAATTTCTCCTTGCTGAAAAAAAACTTTCGTATATAGGCACTTAGTGCTACAAATGCACAGCTTTGCCCTGTTGTGAAATAAAATGGCACGCAAGTGTTGAGTAGAGTACCTCAAATTCTGGATACAAGTAATAGCGAGTAGAGATTTAAAGGGCATCACAAATAATGGATGAGACATGCACTATGAGACAATCAGGGCTTTTAAGGCTTAGTTTGACCGCCTCATGTCTCTGCTGCTGGGTTATGGCACAGCCATATTATGGCTCCACAGATTTAAGGGCAGAAAAAAAATTATAAGATACAATAAATGCAAAAACACATTAAAATCAATAAAACTCGTCACAAAAATATAAAAATACATATGTAAACTGATTAACAACAAACATTCCACTCATTTGCCTAAACTAGTAATAATAACATTAAATCATAATGAAAGAATACAAAAGAGCTTCGCCTTGATATAAACAGACAAAAAGGATTCCTTCCGACACACTACGGACAGCTAGAGGTTAAAGGCCACTGTTATTTTCTTTGGTTTATTTTGCTTAAGAGATAGTTCAGGATTTAAGAAGCAAGGTTGTGAGCAGTTGGTGTTGAGGGCTAAAGCTAACAACTGGTCTGAAAGTGATTGAGAACAAACAGAAGTAAAATGATTTTAGAAAACTTAAACCAATCGCTATGTCTGCATCGGGTGGTTATGGAGCCACCAATAATCATCAAGTGTCAAACATGTACTGATAAAGGAACATGTGGCATCTTTTTAGAGTAACTGATATAAAAGGAAGATTATCGTCGCAGATCAGGCAAATGCAACTTTATTCATTTTAACAGTGCTTTACTTTTATATCACGCGTTTACTCGAACCTGAAATGCCTTACATTTTTTTTCTGCTCTCAGTACGTGGGAAGATTATAAATGGCGCACCGCCTTCAGCATTCATTTCCTATCATTCATTTCCTATTAGGCTTCAGCGTAATCAGCCATCGTATGCAAATATGATAACGGTGTAACAAGCTTCAGCTACAAGACCTATCATCTCGATTTATAGTAAACCAAGATCGTAAATCATCTTCTGAATGTCATATATCAGCTGCTTAAAGATTCTTAACAGAACCTTGCTTCATGAATCAAAACTAGTTCTTTAAAGCAGACGGAGTCACTGCTTGGGTGTGGAGACCTACTTCATTTGGAGGAGTCTTAATCTCACTGGCTAAGTGCTTCCTTGCATTTATTTTTTTGGTACAAAATGCATCTGTGCTTTCATTCTATAGAAAAAAAACAAACAAACTATAGATTATATTCCTTCATTGTAAAGAGTAAGGCTCCGACAGGCAAAAATCTAGTAATAAAGTGCATATCACTGATACAATCGCATAATACGAATGCAGGTAGTATCAATCGGTAAAAGGATTATACTAATCATTCTGCCTGTTCCCTTTATGAAAAACTTGGAGACAAATACTGGACAGTACCCTTCTTTAGAACCATACTGTTAGCATCCCTTTAGGAATGCTTTAGATAGAGTTGCTGTAAGGAGTTAACACTGAAAAAAATCCCTTATTTTTAGTTGGCACTTCAGGTAAAACTATGGCTTAAAAAAGACAAAATAAAAAAAAAAAACAGACTTTGTTTGCATATTAATGCAAAAGTTTACAAGAATGAAGTAGGAGTACACAACCGCAGGAACTTGTGCACCAATGAAAAACACCGTCTTTACGGATGGTTTCCGGGCGACGTCTACCATCGGCCGCTGACACTAGCCATGTCTGCATGAAACTGGCGGGAAAGTCGGCCGCTAGCTCCCCCTTCCAAGAAGGAGGACCTGATGGGTGGCTCGAAAAGCTTCCTGCGGTTCTTGTTTAGTTCTGAAAAAAAAAAAAGCACAACCACAAAATTTCAACACATGCAAAGGTGATAAAGGCTCCATCCCAGACATGGGCATCCCCTTTTCTAAGTGCTGCTTCGGGAATTGTAGCAAATCAAAGTGGATAAATAAACACAGCCAAGAGGATTGTTGACAATTTTCCTAAACCTCCACTGATCAACAGCGACAAGAAAATAAGATTCAAATCACCACAGAATGGCTCAGACCAACAAAAGCTGTCTTTGTGGTCATCTAGATTTATGTTAGAATAGGACAAAAAATTTACAACAGACTAAGCTGGCATCTATAGCTTTTTCATTTGATAGCAGAGTTCTGTTGCTGCCAGCATAAACCTCCACTTTGATTCCTGGAGACAGGCAACTTGCGGCAGCAGCCCTTTTTACTGGCAGGGGAGCAGGAATTTTAAACCCTTTTTAAGAAGGAAAATACAAAAAGGATAAGACAGACAGAATCATGCATATTTCAGTTTTAAAGACCTAGAAATAGTCAGTTGAGACGAAAGCTGACCAGTACTTGGCATCAAAACCAGATTTGGCCTTTAGAAAACTGCACCCCTAATAATCAGATCAGGCGTCGATATTTCCCCTTACCACCTCACCCTGGATCGACTTGGAATTTAGTGCACTGAACTCTCACAGAATCTCCAGCTGCTACAGCCTCCAAAAATGATGTCAGTAGTGAAGTCCGACACCCACCACTTTCACATTATACCGAGTGTAAATCAGCAACAATCGAGCAGCAGTAGCTAAATCAGCAAAATTATCTAACTTTGTAATCATTTTTTTCTTATTTTGGAAAACGAGGTAAATCCAGATAATCTGCAGAGATGTAAGTGTTCTGTCTCTCTCTCTTTCTAACAAACACAGCATATATGCAGCATATTGTCCTACTCTGAACAATGAATAATTTGATGACAAAAAACTGATTAGACTCCTGTGCATGCACAAGGAAGAATGTATTACTCTCAAAAAATGACAGAAAATCAAACAATATGAAGGTTGTTCCTTCTCCTCAAATTGGACATTTTTTTTTTAATTCTGAAATAACTATTTTGTGTATAAATTAAGCCTTGGGATATGGTGCACAGAACAGTTTGAAGTGTGCAACGGAAAACTGCAAGTCATCTTTCATCTGACTAGCAAAGAAGTTTTTAATGGATGTTTATTTGGAGTTATCTGACTGGGAAATAATTACCACTAGGGATAAAGCAATTATTCGGATTAATTGTGATTAATCGATTACTGAAATAATCATTAACAAATTTAGTAAAGGATTACTCATCAACTGGAGCATAGAGATTGTAAAATGTGCCTTTAGCTGACAGAGCAACCCACCTTGAGCAGCAATTATACCAAAATTGTACAAAAAAAGTACACATTTTGCATTTAAGATAAAAAAAAAAAAAAAAAAAAAATATATATATATTTTTTTTTTTTTTTTTT